CGTGAAATTTTAAATAATATATCTTACCCCTCATTTATAAACTGATTCTGAACAATTTTGAGTAAATTAATTGTCATGTCCAAATCTCTTTGTAAGAAGCAGCCGTACAGAATTCTTACACCCAGTTGATTAAAAGCGATATCGACTGTGTGTTAATGCATCCCAGTTCAATTCATGTTTGCATTATTCTAGTCTATTGCTATGATAAATAACGTCTTTTATATATTCCAGCCCCATGGTAGTGGGAATGTTATGGGAGGTAACTGATCTGGAGGTGGACAAGATGGTTAGCACGCTATTATCACTGTGCGTACCCTCAGACGCGCCGCTGCCTTGGGCACATGTTGGCAAACAAGCCTGGAGTCAGGGTATACTTGGTGAGTGTGTTCGTTATACATTACCTACTTATTATACTGCGTGTTGCAATTATAATTTTAATCTTTACCGTTTGTTTTATATAATAAAGCATTTTCAGAGTAATCGGGTAGCTAGAATATATTTGAAATATCTTAGTCTTATTTTTAACAGGGTAATGTTCTTCTTTTAAAATGTATGTTTCACGATTATTTCATAAATAGTGAACTGATTTAAATTAATCCTTTTTAAATTTGAAATGGTAAATTCACAAGTGGGTCTCATTGAAAATCATGAGCTTTATATAAATCTACAAAATTTGTTAGTTCGCATCTCGTTTGTCACGAAACAATCATATTAGTATGAAATTGTCTTTTCAAAAAACTAAAACTGGCTTTTGAATTTCTCAATATAGTAATTGAGAAATAGTTTTCGATGTTTCTTTCGTGTATTTATTTTCTTTATTCACAAAATAACAAGCAAATAGACACTAATCTCGCATTTTGCAACGATTTCCTGACGTAATACGGCGCTAGGCGCTAGTGTAATCTCTATAGTCGGTGACATCCTAATCAGGATGTCACCGACTATACAGATTACAGCAAAGCATTTGATAGAATTTATCATGACATTTTAGTTGCTAAACTACAATCACTTGATATCCATGATAGCCCTTCTAGTGAATGCATTCCGCATACTTCGAAATGCAATAATAACCAAAAAGTGCGGAATTATATAACCTTTTAAAATCCGGATTTTATGAAAAAAGTAACATTTGAACTCTTAAAAATGATGATGATGTTGCTTCTCTTTGTTCGTTTGTTTTTACTTTTGTTTACATTGTTGTTACTCTTCGTCGTGGGTAGAAGTACCATCCGGTGTACTTCAGGGATCTTTACTGGGTCCTTTTTTTTTTGTTTGTTATATTTATCAACGACATTTAATCTTATTTCCTGAACTCAATTTTCTTCTGTTTGGCGATGATATGAAAGTTTTTAAGACTAGTTGACAACATTTCTGACGCGCTTCTCTGGCAAGAAGATTTAAATAGATTAGATAATTTATTGTTATTTGAATAAACTAGATCTCGATATCAGTAAATGTTTTGTTGTCAATTTTATGCTCAATCGCAACAAAGTTATTTACGATTATACACATAAGCATCAAAAGCTGGAAAATAGACTCATCGTTAGGGATCTTGGTGTTATTAATTATCACAAGTTGTTATTTGACAAACATATTGAATACATCGTCGATAAATCTTATAAGGCTCTGGGTGTTTTGATTAGTACTTTCATGCCGTTTAAAAAAATTAAAACGTTTAAAATACTGTATTGTGCTTACGTTCGAAGAGATGTTGAGTATGCTTCTCAGATTTGGAATATGTTTCTAGCTTAGAAAGCATTCAAAAGAAACTTGTGTGCTCGATTTGCGCTCGTTTAAAGATTCCCAGGTTAATATACGAACAGCGTTGCTTACGTTTGCATTCCCTTCGCCTGTCATTGCGCAGAAAAATTTGTGATGTTTGTTTCCTACTTAACGTTGCTCGAGGAAAGGTAGAAGGAGTCGAATTGTTGAGCAAAGTTCAGATCAAAATCTGGAACTTAAATATTCGTTAAAAAAATATTAATTAGAATTACTAAATTGGTTCACGAACTAAATAGAAAATTGAATGATGATAGTCTATTCTACCTTATCAATAGCACAAAAGGACATATTAAGAATGTATTAAGTTCCTACTTTGACGGTACAATTCTGTGTTGAAATCATTGCTGAACATGTATTTTGCGTATTGCGAAAATATCTAAGTGTTATAGACCTTATAAGTGTTATAGATATAATAATATTGTAAATAATGCTTTAAGCTCCCCAAAAAGAATAAAATATAAATGAACCTAAAATGTTTAATATATTTTTTACAAATTTTAATACGAGTTTAATAAATTAGACGTATTTACTAATCAACCTTGATATGGGGTATGTTCCGATATACACTGCGAGCACTGCGCAGTGGTCTTTCTGCTGAAAAATCCGTTCCGTTATGGACTGCCAGTACACTGCTACAGTACCCTAGGGAAATTTATGACGTCATAAATTGCCGCCATATTTGTACTGAGAGCACTGGAGATTTCGAGGTAAGTCGCTCGCAGTGCTTTTGATCACGTGATCAGTCGAAACAGAATCAGAAAATGATAAGTTTCTAAATAAACAAAAAAAAATACTTACGTTTATTATAAGATGGATTTAATTGATAAATAATTTTTTTTATACACAATTTTATAATATTTTCTTTTGAAAAGAGGGAATCTATATTTATATTCACCTTGCATTAACAAATTTGAAAATGGCGCCAAAAAATAGGATTAACAGTATACTGGACTGCGTTCCGTTTTAAAAAGTCACCAGTATAACTAGCTATAAAGGAACGGGCTTCCAGTATACTAAATTTACGTCATACTGTTCAGTGGTCGCAGTGTATATCGGAACATACCCATGGTATGGTAATTTTAACCACTTACAAACTTTCATGATTAATTTTCGAAACGAATATGTCACTATTAGAGCTTAATATGTGCATGTATTATATATAATTGAATTCATCGTGACATCCAATACCTCATTTTGTAACTTCCACATATGTTTTTCTTTTTTTTTATAGATACAGAGGTGGAGAGTAAAGGTGTAGTGAGTAGTGAGCACGATCTGTTGCGGGCTATGTGTAGAGCGCGCGGCTCCACCAGTTATGTGATGATAGCCAGCAGTATGGTCGCCAGGGGACTGCCCGTTAGAATACAAGATAAGTAGGTACGTATATACTCGATGAATACATATATACATGGTATGTGATGGTAGCCCGTTAATTGCACATAAGTGTACTATTAGAAGGAAAAGCATAACTACTACTGGCAACACTAATTGTCGATTACATTCTCTGTCAGTTATCTGTCACTGTCATTTTGACTTTGTATCAGTTTCGCGCCAATATACTTCCGAGTTGCCATTCTTGTAAAATTAATAGAATCAGCATGGTGATTTTAAATATATCAATAATAAATGGTAAAATGTGTCTTTCAGTATACATATTTTAAACAAAAAAATTTTTTTAATATTAATTTATTACGTAATAAACAAACTGTAGGTATATTTGTGAAAACGGTTACCAACTTCTAGGTATAAGTAATTAAAAAAAGAAATCTTTAGTATTATTATACAATTTTTTGTTATATACAAATCGAAGCTGTATTTTAATGGTGTATGCATTAAGACATAAATTTTATAAAATATTTTAGCAGACCATTGAAGATCGAAATTATAATTACAGGTGCAGATAAACTGCAGTGCAGTAGATATTCTGTGATTCGGACAATACTCTTAACCGGGTGCGAACTGTTGATATTGTACAAAGACTTTAGATTCATAAGAATAATTAAGGTTATAAATATGGATTAAATGATAAATGATAATGCTATCATTTTTAAAGTATTTCGTTTAATTTATTGGAACAAATATAAAATAGAAAATAAACTACTTACGATTATGAGAACGTTATAAACGTTAGCATATTAACTAAGTAAAGTGAAAACGTGAACAAAATTATTTAAAATTAATTGAATACTCGAATAAAAAATGTTTATTTGATCTTTAAAAGGTAGAACATAACTCATAAAACTCTGTGAACATGTATGAAAAGAGTAATGAAAGTGGGACAGGTGGACGATGTACTTCAGGACCGTGCTTTTTGGTGCTCTGTCCTCTCCGCCTTCCCCGCAAGGGGTACATCGTGAAGATATAGATAGATAGACAGACGACTGAAAAGTTTTACTTATTTATTTACGACCTTTGTGGCCAAGTGGCTCGGACCACCGGTTTCCAAGTTGTCGCGATCTCTTGAATCCGATAATTATAGAATATGAACGTTACTATGTTTACTGGAGTCTTGGGCGTTGTGGTACCGTCTTGTTTCAGATTTCGATAATACAAATGTTTTAGCTATTTGATTTGGGATCTGAGCTATTTATGGAATGTTGGTTTGTATTTATATATTTATTTATAATTGGCTTTTGACTGTTTAATAAACACTGGTAAAATAAACTTTTTAAATACTTTTTTATTTAAAAAATGATCATATTAAAACAATATCAGGTTATTTTTCATCAAAAAGTGTTAAATACAGTCCCACGAAAAGAAACAAGCCACGTGTTCTAGCCGTGACGTCACATTTCAATAAACAGGAGTACTTTTATTACTCGCGACAAAAACGTTGACGTTTAGTTTATTGAAATGTAACGTCACACGTTGCTCCGCCGTGGTAAATTCTGCAAAAATTAAATATGTACTTAAAATTTATTTTAATACAAAAGATACGGAATAGTTATTGTTCTCATATAAGTGCTACTTATTTAAATTTAGTTGCTATATTTCAACATATTTAATAGTTAACTGTTATAACTGTCAAGTAATCAAGCCTTTAAGTGTTAAATTTTAATTCACTGGTCCCAGGTGTCCAAAATAGATATGTATTAAATAAAACGTTTTATTAATTTGTTAAACTTTATTGACCAAAGAAAAATATTCTGCAAGCAACACTGGTTTTATGCTACCAACTACACAAGCTAATTTTTCCGTATTAGGTCTACTTGTTGAACATAACATAGTAATCAAGCGTGGGCGGATACTGGTTCTCTTGGACGTTGTCTGTTTGATAATATCTTCTTGGGGCGGCGTCGAGATGAGGGAGGTGTACGCTCTTTGCTCTCGCTCGCTCGCTGTAACGCCTGTTACGCATATCATTAAATAAACAATATGTGTGTACATCATCAGCTCTTTTACGTCCCCACTGCAAGGGCTCAGGCCTTTCCTATTAATTAAGAAGAAGGGGTCATGATATGGATGGTTAAGGATGATGGGCCATGACCCTCCGCGCTGACCCAATGAAACGTATTAACAACTACAAATGCAGACGGGACCAACGGCTTAACGTGCCTACTTAAGCACGGAGTAAGTCGTGATAAAAATTTTTGGTCACCCATCCCGTGACCGACACTCGCGTGCTTAACAACAATGATCGCGGGCCGCTACGCTTATCCGCTGCGCCGCCGAGCTACTCTATGTGTGTACAGTAATATTTAGCTAGCTGCTTTCCCGCGACTTCGATTTAGCTTTCCGTAGGTGAAACAATTTTCACAACCGCATCAGTATCTTTAAATAAAAATGCAGTTCCCTACAAACAAACAAGTCAGAAAATTTGCTTCTTTATTATAATATTCGTATAGATCTAGTCCACATTAATGTAGATGCTTGATTAAGAGTCTTCTGCTGTGTGCACTGCCGGGGAACAGGGCTTTCTTATGGATAGAATCGAATAAGAAGAATGGGTCATGATCTACCAAACGAGCCCGATGCAGATTAGTGGGTGTTAACGTCTACAGATACACCCGGGACCAACGCTCGAGTTCGAGATAATAAATTTTCGATTTGCGAAAGTTGCTTAACTTCGGCATTCGGCAGACAAAACACGGTAAACACTGCGCATATAGCTCCTTTTTTAAATTCTATTAAATAAGAGCAAACTAGCGCCACCTTTTTGATAGCTAATAAAATTATAAAGTATCAAAGGTGGAATATGAAAGGATTTTCTTCTAATGATTACTTCATCCATCCTTATGATGTCTACAGTCTCCATGATTTTCTTCTCCAAACTCTTGATGTAAAGACGTGCGTTGGTGACGTTCACGTCGAAAGCTTTCCCGAGCAACTTGAGCAACGGCAACGAATTGCAGTCTGCAGTTCTGCGACATATAATTTGTACGAATTAATATGACACCTGAAAGCCTATTGTATTGGTCCTCGTATATAAATTCGGAAAATTTGTTATCTGTGAAGATTATCTGTGCATCAGAGGCAAATGAGAGAGGTGTCATGTTAATTCGTACCAGTAGTAAACAAAACAGGCATTTAATATGTGGGATGATCATGATGCTCGTTTTACATTATTCCTATCCAGAGCTGGAATGCTACTGGAATAATGTAACTAGAATGCACTGAGTACATGAGCAATCCAGTGTGAAAATTTCAGGGATGATAAATAAATGTGCTTTAGTTCATATCTTATGAATTACCTTTTTAAACCAGTACATTTTAGTAGGACTTGAAAGTGTTTAAGGAGGGGGGGGGAATAGAGCATTTTTTTATTCTAAAGGGCTGCCCCTTAATCAGATCAGATGTTTAATAACCTGGTCATTGACACGTGACGTGTTTGGGAGGCTCTGATCCCCTCGAACCTTCGTTGTGAGGGAGAAGAGATCTAGGTGTGGAACCGTCCTTTCTGGATCCCAGGCCATCCTCTCAAAAGTGAGGAGGGGGTTTATTTAGTGTGCCACCCACGTTTTGACTAGCCTTCAGTAGTTTTACAGAAAAATAATCTGCTGTGTCCGTTTCTTGATTCGTTATTGGAAATACAATTTTGTCATTTAGGTATACCTTAGATATATCATCATCTTATATTTTATTCAACCTTCATATAGACCGGTCACTTCTCGCATAAATGGAATGTTGACCCGCCTACTGCCACCGGTTCGGACTTATAGGAAGTAATTTATAATATTAGAAATCAACTAAATTATAATAATATATCACCTACCATTGTAGTCTATATTGTTTTATTTAACAAATATGGTTATTTATTTTATGTGAAACAGGTTAACTTTTGTTTTGGTATTCCAATATGATCTTGAAATACTTGAAATTTCACCGATTTAGAATTTTTCTAACTGCTTGTTATTCCAATTCCATTATAGCATTAATAATATCAATTTTACATTCACAGTGCCATAGAGCAAAAAATATCTTTAAGAAAAATTCTTTAGAAAGAGATGGAATAGGGTCCAAATAGGTATATTTTGTCATATTCTTATTTATGAAGCAAACGAAAAGCGCCCTTATGTAAGGTAACTATAAACATACGACTTATTGTATAATAAATGTTTTACGTGGGATTAATGTCTCATAAATTCAGTCGATTAAAAAACCTTGGAAAATTGACCGTAATACAATTGTATTATCTTATTGAAATTGAAATCGGTGTAGATATTTTTTTAATAAGTAAAAATATAAAAGTCTGCCCTTAGTCTTTTTACACGATCTTGAAAGCAATGCAATTTTAGTGTCAATGATGATAAACGAGTACACTGTTATAGCAGTCTCACTTGGAAAAGGGGTTTTGAACTTAACAGCTCACGGTAAGACTCGAGATGTCATTTTAGTTTAGTAAATACTTACACGGCCAAGCCCTGGATCTGCTGCAGAAGATTCGCCAGTACTTCACTGCTACGGTCACGAGTTGCCTGTAGTTCTACAGTAGTAGCTCGTTTCTCTTCCAATGACGTTTTCAAAGATTCTATACTGTCCTGCTGTTTACACATCTTGGCTTGGTGTTTGGCGCGTTCTTCCTCTGCGATAATGTGGAAAAGATTCGTTATTGATTTTTGGCTGGATTTGATTAAAAGTCTTGCAGATGATTTCTAGGATAACGGTGACTTCATGTATCGCCAGTTTTATTATAAAGATTATTAATAACTTATGTGTTGTAACAATAAATGAATAAGCTAAGTATAAGTTAATAATAAGTTAATAAATGAATAAGTTCTTTGGCGATTTACAAACATCCAAAAAACATGACAACATTATTTCAAAACTATAGCTTAGGCGAACACTATTATCGCAGTAGGTAGATATTATGATATCATCTGAGATGATTATGCACTCTATTTTTAGAGCAATACAGTTTACTAATATAAAAAATATACTATTTTTAATACTAAAACTCTTACCAATATTGTCTTTCAGCATCTTGACATTGTCGCTAAGGTTTTTCAGTTCGGTGTTGACCTCATTGATGTAGTTGAACAGTGCATAGTTCTCTTCCTCACGACGCGTGAACTCTGTTATCAGCTTATCGACATCGTCCTCACCGGTGAACTCCTGAATTAATATGAATATGGGCAACATTAATCCCACTTACCTGGCACTATATGTTTCCCAGCTGGTTGCTGGGAAACTATTTATTGCAAGTGACAAGTTGGTAACATGTCACTATTGCAAGTAATCAGCTGAAGAAACTATTTATTGTAAGTGACCAGCTGGGTACATGTCACTTAGAAGTGACCAAGCTGGCAACATTTCACTATAGTAGTTTGTTTTGGGACAAAGAGAGTAGGCCTCGAAAATTCCTTGACAAGAATCCTAACCTTAATAGCTTCCAGGATGGTGACGTGATTGTTGTAAGCCCTCAGCTCCTCCTCCTGTTGCTCCAGACGTTTTGCTTCAGCCTTCGCGTCGGCAGCGGTTAGTCTGACCGTTCCTTTAGTTCTCAGGAACTCTTCCAACTTCATGCTGTGGTCTAGCTGACGTTGAAGCTCTCGCACTTCCTGAATAAGAAATGTGGAGTGCTAATCAGTTGGAAGGGACGCCCCGGTTACTGAACGGTCATTGGTTTTTTTTTATCCGATACAGTTAAATTTATTTTCTAAAAGCTAAAGAGCGTCTATGTACTTACCTTATTTCAAAGTAAGTTCCTTATAGAATCTCAAGTTTTTTGCAGTACATACGACTGAATGTCAGATTACCACAATATGTCGCAATGGAGTTTTAAATCGAGTGGAGAAAGACAGTTTTGTATAATCTGACGTACCCTTGTCAGTACGTGTAATTTTTTTGTGGATTAATATCATAATACTCGCCATACAATGCTTCCTGTAATCGATGGCAGCCTTCTCCTTGAGAGCGTCCAGTTTCGTGCACCACTCCTCGCGCTGGTCGTAAGCATTGATAGCTTGCTCCACCAGCTCCAGGATCTGCGCCTTGCCGTCCATCAAACGTTTCAATTGGTTCCGCCAGATCAAATTAAAGAATTGCCTTTGAACAAGCGAGAAGTTTGAAGTGAATTCATGGATGGAAATCTTATGGATTGGACATTGAGTGAGCGAGTGAGATACGAGTTCTTGACAGCAATGAAGTTGACTCATCATGGTTGGTTTTATGGTACGGACATTTATTAAATCGATATAATTTGTCGATTATTTACCTTATATAATTTACGTTACAGTCGTTTAGACACGGACTAACATGTGTATTAAACTACTCAATCGGCTCAGTAGTTATAGAGCCTATGACAGCCTGTAATAGACAGATATGTAAACAAGATTAATCTCATAATTAGAGGTTCTGTTTTTATTTTGAGGTATGGAACCCAAACAATAAACTCTGTAGGTTATTAATTAATGATAGGTGCCCGACTTCAATAGAATTTTCTTGAATAATTCGCTTTTTATGTAAGTATTATTTATAGCTTTTTTAAAGTATGAAGTCGGTGCTATTTTCTTTTTAAAGTTTTTATTTCATGCTTTTCAGTGGTATTATTATTTCTCATATAATAGGCAATACTAAATATAGGTATTAAATATCTATTTTAATAAAAATATTCAACATAGTAAAGTCCTAGAAAAATAGATTATGTTTATTTGCTCTACATATTTTTTTCCAATAATCATTAATCATATTTTAAAGAGGAAAGGTTTGCTTGCTTGTTCGTTTGCAATGAGGAAGTATTTAAAACAAAATAGTTCCCGTAATCAAACTAGATGTCGCTACGGTACTTTCTTGATTTCTCCATGACAACCCTTCCGGTTTTCTTTCATATATAAAAGTAAATTAATTTCCAAAACTCAATAAACAACTCATATTCTGTTTGTACTTTGTCGTATTTGTATTGATATTTAAGGTTCGAACTTTTCAAATATCAGTTTTTTAATATATTAATTAAAAGAAACGGAAATTTCTATCTTTGGTTTCCTGCAAAAAACAACTTTTGCTAGAGGCTAGATGGCGAGTGAGGTGCTTTTTTAGTGCTTTCTTTTCTCTTAAAATACTTCCTTATTAGATAATCTCCGAAAATATTGGACTGATTTATAAAAGTCTTTCATCTAGGTACGGTAAGCTACATAATACGCGGTTTACATAGAGTATAATTTACGCCGGCGAAGGTGCGTGGAAACAGCTAATTTGATACAAATTTATATATTCTTTACTCTGATACCGACTATCTATGATTTCCATAAAAAAATATATATCATAAAGTAAACTCGTTGAACATAGAAAATCCTCCTTTCAGATTTTGAATGAATTCTAATTACACAATCTTTTGTTTTTTAGCTGAAATGGGCGATGTCATAACATATCATCTTAATATTTAGGTGGTATCTGGTGAAAAGCGTATTTTGTTTTGTGATAAAAGACTTTTTTTAATAATCCGTCAACATTTGACGAAAATATCGGTGATAATACATCACCGTCGAACATATAAACCTCCTCCTTATATATTTTGAAGCCGGTTAAAAATGGCCAAAACCCGGACCGACTCTTAAATGGGCCAAAACTGGTTCATCTAGCTTATTTAAAATCTAAATTAATATGTTATCTTTAATAATGTCTTCTCTATGTTACCTGTCCCTTAACAGTTTGTCAATCTCGAGTCTCATCTTGTAGTTGTCGCTGTTGACGGAGTTAAACTTCTTCATGGCGGTGTCCAGTCGGTTCTCCAGTTGACTGATCACCGTCTGATTGGTCAGCGTCTTGGCGTATTCCTGTCAAATAGAACACTTTGATAAAGGACACTAAGTAATGTCTAGTTTTAGTGAATTAATAATTATAACAATGATAATACACTTAAAAGAGTTCCTGACACGGAAATTTATAGAAGTATATAGAAATATTGTTTCCAGATTGATAACTAACTTCTATAAATTACCTTCTTCTATAATTACTTCTATTAACCGGGTAAAGTTATTTTACCCGGTTAGAATTTCTCCTGCGATATCAATTTGTAAATTGATCGATTTCGTTTTGACTGACATCGTAATGAATGCAATGTCGCGAGATTGGGGCTCGGGCAAGATCTCGTAAGTTTGTGAACAACGATACCGCGAAATCTAGCCAATTTCGAGATCAGGAAAAAACATCAGAAATCATAGCTGTTGTGACATAAGTAAATATTTATTTTTACTGGTATTTCCAATGTTTTATGTATTTAACATTGTTTAACGCCTCAATATATTTTTTTATCCCATACCATATCAATTTTAATGAAATTTAGTATGAAGGGGCTTTCAGGGGTCATAAATTGATTTATTTAGGTTTCATTTACCAAAATAAGTATATGTAAAATTTAGTCAGCCAGGTACTAAACTTTAAATTAGTAAAATTTAACATATTAAATACGAAATTATATAAACTATCAGCCTTCTCCGTTAATATGAAATAAAAGTCTTATAAAACAGTTATTTTATAACAAAGCAACAAGAAACCATTTGGTTTATTACAGACTTCTGTAATATTAATATCAAAGAAACTATGTGTACTCAGAGATCTATTAGAAATTAGAGAATCAATTAAGGAAATATACCAATCAATTTAAAGGTTTGTTCATTTGCCTCACACGCCATTATTACGAATTATTTTGAAAGAAGCTTTTTAAAATTATCATCTACTAATCGTCTTCATATTATGCTGGCCAGATAACCAGCTGCTGAGGAGGCCCTTTTGGAAACAAACCTAATATAAAACTATATAACTGCGCCTTTAGATTGCCGAACTTAGAATAAGACGTTTTTGTTGCTTGAGCGCGATCTCATTAAACTCGCGAGATGTCGCTCAAGCTTTTATATACAAATATACGTTATTTTCTGCATTTACGGCTGCTAATCAGTTAAATTCAGATGGTCAATTTTCATTTCTTTGAACCTTTAGCTATGACGGCGCTTAGCTCAACGTCGAATTCTAGGCTTTTTCTTAGAATATCATAGCAGTTGCTTTCTTACCAATTCAGATCCAGTGCCCTTCGCTTTAAGACCCTTGATCTCCTTTTGCACCTGCTTCAGAAGGAAGTCCAGCTCAGCGATGGTGGTGCGGTGATCTCTCACCTCCGACGAGAACTTATCGTAGTCTTTCAGCAGTAACAGCAATTTCTCTCTTGTCCTGGCGTTCTCTAACACATTTGATGTGCTGTTCGTTAACTGTGGAATATCTTCGAAATATAATTTGAAATATAAAAAATAAAACCAACGCGCACCTCCTGCGCTGGTTTTACTAGTTGGCTCATGTTCTTTGCGACTGCGGAAGTTAAGAGCAGACATATTATCGCCAATTTCATTTATTTAAGGTTTATTTTACATACATTCTCATTCAGACGCCATTTCAAGTTCAATCTTGGAAACCTTTATAACACTTCCTTACTCAAGAGTATGTATAAAGAATCTTATTCGCAGGTACTTCTCGACAGAGTCTTAAGTAAACAGAACTTAAATAGTAGTAGTCACGTGAAAGAGAACTAGTTAATTATTAAGAGTTATATGTTGTTAAACAAATCTTTAATCTACTCAAACTGAGATTTGCTCAAATATTATCGCAGGCGCTAACCGATGGTTAGCCAAATCAAATTAGTTTAAAACGGTGAGTAAAGTCAGAAGAGAAATCTGATTAGTGTGATGTATAAAAATTAATAATTACGCAAATTATGATTATATATTGTTAAAATTCTCCAGAGAATCCTAGTGTAAAGTGACTTATGCATATCCATAAAAATATATAAAAGTAAAATTATAAGAAAATGAAAAATAGTGAATTCTAGAGGTCAGTTTGTATGTAAGTATGTGTAAGTAGTTATTTTTTTAATTTTCTATAACACTGTCTGTCTGTTCACTTTGCTGTCATATAAATTAATAAAAAAAAGTCAAACATTATATATTAATTTTAATCTCATAAAATTTGCTCGAATCCTAAAAAGTATCTATAAAATTGATAAAGAGGTACTGCTTATGTAGTTAAAATTCTTACGTTAAGGAAAGCTGTAGTCGACGCACTACGATGTGGTTTCCTTCCTACAGTGATTAAGCGCTATAAGTACCTGTGTATATTATTAAACACCTCACGTGTGTCTTAAGTAAAGCCGTAACACCTCGATAAGTAAGTATGTAGATACTTTCGTCACGACATGGCGGCTTTAGTACGTGATTATTATTCGGAGAAGTGAAAGTCTACAGAAAATATAGAAATATTACTAGGTACTAATTAAAATAGCCTAATTTGGCTGCCTTATATTGTATCATGTAAGACAATTTAATTTCACTAACGGTTCGACTAAATCTAGCGGCGTGGTAGTCTGTTTCAATTGCCTTATCCCGTGCTTACCCAGTTGCACAGTAATTAAAATTGTGGAGCAGAAGACCCGATTTTGACCACTGCCCCCTTTTTGGCCAACCGTATATTGTTTTTAAAAATGTTTCTTTCTGGCAACACTTACAGCTATGATGTATCAAAGTAGACTTCGTCGTAACTCTCAAAGTGACCAAAACTAGCTCATAATATTAAAATGGATAAAATCAGAACATCTGCCCTAATTAGCTTAAAGCGACAAAATTTTTCTAATTTTGAACATTCATTAGAGCTCGTCGTTATTAAACCTTGATGAATGTATAAATATATGCAAATAGGAAACACGTTGTTTTTCTCATTGTAGAAAATGGCAGTTCTAAGCCTCAGGGTAGGGCAAAACGATAAGGATTCGGAGACAGGCGGGACTGAACGTACCTACGAATGTTATCCAACCCAAAACCACATACAAAACTGGTGTCTACAAAATAGAAAAAAAAAATACAATTCTTAGTATTATGCTTTGCAACACAGACAAGAGATGTGATCTGTGCTTTGCAATGTAACCGTTTAGTAATATCACGTCAAAAGCTCCCCTTTGAATTACTCAGTCTGCTGGTGAGAAACTATGATAATTCCAACAGTCTTTTTAAAATATTACGCTCAAATAGATGGATAGACGCGACGGCAACATAAAATTTTAGTATTGGTACCTAATTATTCGAAAATATTTTATCCATAGTTATTATATTAAAATATATATATTTTTTTATATAGGCTTTCAATAACAATCGTGAACTTTTTTAATGCGATCTAATTAATACTCTTCTAGTTTGTTTTGTAACATCTTTCAATATAACCTTCAGTTCCAACATGATCTTATCCAGTTCATCCTGTAGACTCTTGATGATGTTCCTCTGCATCCTCAAGGTCGGCTGCGCGCTGCTGATCACCGTCGCTCGGTCTATCTCCATCACACGAAACTGAAATAAAGGTCAGAATCTCATTATATCTTTGAGCTAGTGCATCTGTCTGTATCAGATGTACGTACCTATTTCATACCATATCATGTGATCTTTTAAGACTTCCTGACAAGGAAGTCAATGTGATATTAAAAATTAAGACATTTCTCCAAGTCACAAGATATGATGTAAAATAATTCCGGAATAAAGTAACTCCATTCATAAAATATCAGAGGTATACATTTTCGCTTAAGTGGCCCGTTTTGGTCAACATAATAATTCATTCATCTATGATAAAATTACAAAGATAAAAGTTTTAAATATTGGTTAATACATAGGTTGAATAGGCTCCGAAACTACTGAATGGATTTTAAAATTCTTTCACGTATAAGAAGCTGGTGACATAGGCTTATAACAATGTAGATACTTTACGTAGGCTATGTCCTAGGAAAACAGCTAGTTTATACTAATATTATGTATAAATTGTTTGTTGGTTGGTTTGTTTTCATTGAAAAGACTATTTATTAGTCCTATTTGAAAACACCTAGTACGTGAAATAATTTTTAAAGTTAATACATAAAAGATGACATAAGGTGAAGTCGCGGGTAAAGCTAGTTATCCTTAAATAAAGATGTAGTGTGTAATTATTCTGGAGCAGAGCTGGTGCGCCTATGAAAATGAATATTTTCATATAGTGACCTGTCTCTGAAGTTTCGCGAGCTCATCTTCTGCTATCTTTTCCATCTCCATGTCGTCCGTTGGTATCGCCATTTTTTAAAGAATCTGATTATATTGTATCTTTAATTTTTTACTTTTATTCAGCTCTAGGACCTAATAACCTTAAATTTCGTTTCGTTGAAGAAGTTGTTTAAGTTTGTCAAATCGATATTTGTTACCATGCAACCACATTTTTGTATGAACGCCTTATTTGAGAAGAGATCGAAAAAATGGTCCTTGACGTTAAACTGTTGATATCTCAATTATTGAGGTTTGATTTCTGGTATTAGTACTTATGTCTAGGCTATATCTGTAACTTGAAAACTAATTAAATAATTACGGGAATGCCAAAGTAATTTGCTGTGATTTAGTATGGAAAATAAACAAAGAAACTACTCTATGACCATTAAATAATCGTCCAGAGCCTTAATTCATTATTTTATGGTCTAGTGACAAGAATTATGTCTTGAATTCGTAAATACTTTTCATAGTTACCTACTATAAAATAAGCAAAATTGCCCACAGATCAGTGTGTGCGACAATATAGCATTATAGAAATCTGGAAACCAAAAGATATAATCGGCGAGTTGGCTACCAAATCAAACCGTGGTGCAAGCTTGCGCGAGTCTGGGTGTTTATGGCATTTGTTATTTTTGATACCTATGAGCTACCTCATTGCGTTACGCACTATCTATATTACCTGACGTGACTGCAGGAGTGTGAGAGAGTTCCACTCTAACTGAGTTACTTAGTGGCACCCTACTGAGTGGTCACCCCCCACAGAGCGGTCCACAGAACGAGTCTCTACCATTCGAGGAACATGCACTCCGCGAATGGTAGAGACTCGGGAACCCAAGCATTCGCCGTGCCAACCACTCAGTATGCAGGGGATCCCTCTGGTACCTACCGCGCGGGTGGGAAGCTCTCAGCATGAAGAGTTTCTCTCCATGTACAGTCTGAAGCCATGTGCAATGCATGTTCGGTTGTATGTATTATCAGTCTCAGCTACTTATGCCAGCTTCATGGCATTAAAGCTTCAACGAGACTTAAGTTCATTGTAAACTTTTTCTTTCAATTCTTTGATTGTAATCTATAAAAAAAAAAAACTGCTACCATATCCCTTTGCCTCAACTCAAGATTCTATTATAGCTATCAAATTGTCTCAATAAAAGTCAAGGTCTCTCTTTGAATAACGTGCTTATCCAATTTAGATACTATTTAAGTTATAAGGATTCTATGAGATCACTTCCTAAGTGTTAACCAACAATAAAAAAAAATGTTTCACAACAAATTATTTTCGAATAGCCGCTCTCTTCAGATTACCTTGGTGATGTACTGCTGTCTCTCTCTAGCGTATGCTGTTTGCTTTTGTACCTGGCTGCTACTGTCTCTTTTCTTTGCACGTGCAGGTCGTGCCATTGATAAAATGACAGAGAGATCGGAAAGCTAGCTTTGATGCCTACTTACCTCACAGAGTTAAATTTAAAAGATAATAGTACATCCTTTCTTATTTTGATCCATTTTAAGTATATTCGATTACGGTTAGCTAAGAACTAGTATATTCTATAAGGAAATAGCAAAGAAACTCGTGTTTAATGCCGGGTTTTCTTGTCATTTCTTCTTGGTACAAGGTCTCACGCCATAGACTTACGAACCGATGGCATATTTTCTCAAGTGCTTTGTAATAGCCTAGTCTGAATCAATGGATTTGATCTGAACGACCTCATTTCTTAAACATATTAAATTTTATTTCTTAGGAATTTATTATTAATTTTATATCACTTAGATTAGATAGAATTAGATAGAGTATAGACTTTTTGTATTACATTAATGATTCATTTATGTCAAGTTGCACAAACGTCGATTAAGGATTAATGACATTTAAAGATTCCATAAGCAGACACGAGACATTTAATTTGAATAAATTTATAACCTTATAGGATCTTTATAACCTTATTATTATCTAGTCTTACATAAATAAAATATTCCAATTCAAAATAAATCACGCATGTTTACTGCCTACTGTCGCATCTTATCGGCCGCTTAATCTATGAGCGTCGCAGTTCGTTCTGCATCGAAGGTTCAACTTCGTTTCTGTTGTGGTCGGACCGTTGTCGAGGCGACAGTGGCGTATTCGAGCGCGGTTTCCTTACGATCGACAAAACACCCGTCAACTCGTTAGTGAAGTGCAGTGTTTGTGATTCGAAATGTTGATGCGAGAAACGTGTTAAAAAAAGTTTTTATAATGGCATTAAAAAAAGATTACGACATAAATGTGAACGCGAACGTATTCAAAAACGTGAAACTCCAACTGCCCAAAGCTAAACTCCAGCAAGCTATAGACAAACTATTCAAAAGGAATAGCTACACGAAAATAGTGCAAAGTTAATTTTTACACTATCCTTAGTTCGATTTAGAAAAGATTTTCTTTTTCGTTTGTTGTATTAGATAAATGGCCGGTAAAGTTAGTGCAAATAGTAGAAGTAGAAATAGCACTGAACCGCCCGATCGTAACAAATCGCCTAGCTTTATTACAGATGAAACAGAATTTGTGGGTAAAGGAGATATAAGATCATCTACACCTATTAATAAGCACAGAAGGAGTCGAAGTAGAAGTGGTACCAGGATAACACCTATAGGCTTGAGTCTTTCGGACGAAAACTTTTACGAAGACTTGGAAGAGTACGTGAAAGAAATGTCTGCAGTGAGGGGATCTGAAGGTCTGGACACTAGCCAGGAGCTTGATGTTTGGGGCCAACTGCAACAGAAGGAGTCTGATCTCCTGCTGGCTGCGGAGCTCGGCAAAGCTCTCTTGGAGAAGAATGAGGAGCTGAAAAAGGATCAAGAGCGTGTCGTCGAGGAGTACTCCAAAAAACTTGAGGTGAGTTATAGGCATAGGCAATATTGAATGTAAAAATCGGTCTAAGTAGATATACTATTTTTGTAAACATTGACATTACAAACTTACAGCCTTTCATAAAAAAAAAGTTTTTTTTGATGCGTAGAAAACAAATTGACTGAGAGATTGAAAACTATTTTAAAAGAAACTTCTAAAAAACTATTTAAGTATCTATTCAATGGACACACAGACAGCAATACATCATGTTAGATATTACGAAATATCAAAGTTAATTTCGAACTTAATCTCCGTTGCTTAGGGTTTAAAACTGTTTGCAGACATTTGACAGTTTTGTATAATTTTATGTAGTAGGTAGATACATATATAACCTACGAATATATGTACAACTACAAAAATATGAATATTATTTATCTCTTACTAAATCTAATACTGTTTGTTGCGTTTGTTTCTGCTGTTAATTAACGAGCTCGGTTCGTTCGTCATAATGTTAATTATGAAGGTGCTTATTATAATAATAATTATTTGAATACTAAATATGTACATGTGTACATTTCTATGTAGAAACATGTCAGGTTAATAAAAATGTAAAACTAAATGAGGAATGAAAGTAAACAGTAAGCGGGTTAAAAGTAAGAAATAAAGTTTAACACACACTTTAATGTTTAACTTAAAGACAAAAGTTTGTTCGTACATATACATATGTCTTTTAAGTAATTATTCTAAAAATGCAAAATTAGAATCCACGAATGAATACTTCATTGGTAAATTCTAATTTTGTATTATTATAAATCGTAATCACTTATTTTTTTATTGTGTACCGCCGTTCTAAAGCTTCCTGCTAAAACTCTCCGGTTGACTGGTAGAGAATACCTAATGACATTAAGTCCGCCATTTGCACATGTTAATTTGTGTAATAAAGCTTAAATAAATAAACATCTACCTCATTGCGCCCGGCAATACGCGCGTAATGCGTGTGCGCACAAAAACTATTTTTAATTAGGATTAAGGTAAAAGTAGTTCATATAACCCTCTGTTGCAAACTGATTCCAAAATTTATCAATATTCTGTATAAAGAGGGTTTAATTTCAACAAAAAAATAGAAAAACTGGTGAATTCTAGGAGTAACTAAGTATTTTTTTTTTCTTTCATGAAGATTTAAAAACAATACGTTGTGGCTATGACAGGATCATTAGAAATATAATGTGGTTTTTCTCATTTTAACTACAGCTTATTTGGACGTTAATTCTTTGTACACACGTCCGCCCCTCAGAGTATATTTTGTAGACTTTGTACCGTTCGCGCTTCGTATAGAACTTCCTTACTAACAAAGGGCTGCTTACAGTGGTGGTGTGTAGCATGTCGTGCGGCCGTGTGTACTAGTTGAAAGTTAGAAAATTTGGGTGTACACACCCTCTTAAGTAATAATTTGAAACATGTAGTTTTCTTTCGACAAATGTTTTATCATTAAAAAAGACTATAAGATAGGGTTTGGCCCGATTTTAGCCATTTTAAAATTTCTAATTAGAAGGGGTGAACTTTGATACATCGCAGTTGGCATCGGTATTAAGCTTTACCATGATTCAACTCTTTGCCACAATAAACAATTTGCCAAAAGGAGGCCAGTTACCAAAACCGGCTCATTTGCCCTAGATATTTCTCATGTATGAAACGGAAACAAAGACAAGACAAGAAGGCATATGTTGTACCGTCCATTTTCTTATTGAACATAATTTATTATACACTACACTAGCTGATCAACTGATATTGTTCTGTTCAAATTTCTATAAATTACATACATATAGGCTAATATACAGGTAGGCATATAACCTCCTAGAGGAGTCCCAGCGCGGCGGATGAAACCGGACCCTATCCTAGGATACCGGGTTCTTCCTATCCGCATGAGGTGAACGGTAGCGGGTTTTGACAGGTAGCACTTCCACACTTAACTGCCCCGCTAACGGGGTGGGAGGGGAGCCCTGGAATAAGGCTTAAGGTGTATTTCCCCTGCGTTAACAAAAAAGATAGACTAATAAATACAAGTTATTATGTACTCGTATGATATAACAATACACGTGCCTATTCTATTTCTCAGAAAATAAAATTTCTCCTATTTCGATTACATAGAAACGCATTTTTCGTTAATATATGATGCAGCTGAGATAAGACCTAACACTACCTCTACCTCTGATGCACAGATAATCTTCACGTAGGTATATCATTTTAACAAAATTATAAGACCGATTATTACAGATCGAAATTTTCCGAACTTTCTTTCGAGTACAATTAGAATAGGCTTTCGGGTAGGTTTGGTGCAAAATCTAATCTGCACAATGTCGTTTTCATATCAAGGTCGGTTAAGTTAATACTATGGAGGATGAGGAAAATAAGATTTGTAGCTCTAGTCTTTGTCTGTAGTGCGATTATAATAAAAACTGTTTCATCTTCAATGTCTAAAGCGTCACGATCTCTTGACAGCACAACAAATAAAACTTTAGACAAAGTTATTAGTTATAAGCAATACATTTATTGTAAAAAACCGAACAAAAATAATTTACGGCAATAAAATAAGTTGCAATTGAAGTTAGGAATCTTCGGTGATTTTCCGTAAAGTTTTGACTACTTTATTATGAAAATCTTTTAATAGAATGACATATTCTAATTCTATCACTAAAGGATTGCTCCCACTGTAGTCTTTGGGATTGCTTATCATAACGAGCATTTTGATAGATCTAAATACCAATACCGAAATGCAAAAGTATAAAACGACTAAGGATACCTGGCAACGCTATGAGGTCTGCTTAGCCAATTTTACCGACTAGAAAATCGTTCTTCATATATTTCTGTCAAGTGTAAGCACTATAACAAGAAATTAATGGACACCTTACTCATATCCATCGGATTCATCCATAGGCTTGTTTATTGTAGTATAGTTAACATCTACACAACAGTAATTGTTATCGTAAATCCTTTATTATTCAGATAACAGCCACGTTTCTATTGATATGACTCATTTATTTGAAGAAAAAAATCTACGTAGGTAAATTGCTTATGCGGAATAGTAGATGTTTGCAAAAACTAAACGTGAGCGTATATTTGTTGATTCATTAATGATTCCAATTTATCTAATACCAGCGTAATTTATTGAACTATCAAATTTCAATTTAACAATGTTGATTTACTTAAATAATAATTTATATTAATCTGCAGACAGTTGAATGTTGTACAATAGCCTCAATTACTTCTGTTGCAATTTGTATACCTTGGAAGTTTACTATTTCTTTGGCATCCAAAGTTTTAACACTGTAATATTTAAATAATTAATTCGATTTATCAACCATGATGTACTTTTAAAACTTACCGTGGTAATATTTCTTATGTTTTCATCAAAACGTTTTGAGTTGATTGAAAGACAGTGATGTCCACAAGAAAGAGGGGACACATGCACGTTCCTGCACACGGATTACTTTACGAAAAAACGCACTACAAACTTATCGACAGTGTTCTTAACTATGTTTTATGAACATTTTTGCAGCCAGGTCATAAGCTCTTAAGGAAAATAAGCTCTTTTTGAGTCACGGTTTTTTAACTTTAAATTTTATTTTTTACTTTTCATTTTCTACTGCTAAAAAATATATTGCAAAATAATCGTGATAAAAGAGGCTTTATTTTGATTAATTTTGCATTCACAATGCCATACCGAAAATTATTCTTAATACAAAATGCTTAAAAAATCCACTTGGTCTCTGGCACCCTGAGATGGGAATCAAACCCACAACCTTTCGCAATGCGGGCGACTGCTCTAACCGCTGAGTTACCGAGGACCTAACAGGACTGACGAATCTTTCTAGCACTTGTTACTTTTCACTACTACAGTGTATTCTCATCAATGTTCAGGCATCCACCCAAACATAAAATATTGTTTCAAAAGAAACAAGTAGAAAAGTAAAAATTTTTAAGCATTTTGTATTAAGAATAAAAGAGGCTATCGATAAAAAAAACTTTAATCAAATCCGCTTATTCGTTTACAAGCTAGGATGACGTACAAAACGTAGATACTTTGTCTTGTTAAAGTGACTGTAGCTCCTAAAATACTTATCCGATATTTATAATTTTCAGCTTTTATTTTGAGCGAAGTTCATTGCTAAGAAACACCGTGATGTACAAGGCCTTCGAATAAAATCCGCATTCAAATCGGTTACATTTTTTTATTAGCTACGCTGCCACAGACAGACACATCAAACTTATGTATAACACACCCTTTTTTGCGTAGGGGTTTAAAAATATGTTTACATTAAAACTTCGCGTTTTTATATGTTTTTTAGTATTTTGCCAACTACCTTGTGGTTTTCGAGATAAGCATATTAGATACTTTAGGTACTATCCTATTCAAACTTCCACTTTAATCACGACTCGATATGAATAAGACATCGAGGTATTTTTGATACTTTACACAATGCTTCCAATTTTTTTGTCATGGCAACAAAAATTATAATACGATAGATTTTCATTGGACCCATCTCAGGCCCATAACTTTTCGGATATTTCTTAAGATTATAAAGTTAGAAAATCCCCTCTTTATAATATTAGTATAGATGAAAACCGTTGGCGATAAATAGCCAGACTACGTATTTCGAAAGTGAATCTGTAGAAATAATTCTAAAGAACGGAAAATGAAGGTTTTCGCAAGTTTTTTTGTTGGTCATTCGGAACCTTGTAATAAAAGGTCACTTAATTACGAGTTCTGTTAACGCTGCCTTAAATAACATTTACAATGTACAATACGACAATGGATCTACTAATATGATATGCATCATGGTTGGTAACCTTTGGAACGGCTTTAGGTACACATGAATTCTTATTATATTTGTGCGATTTCGACAATATAAAACTCATAAACGGTTTCTAAACTGAAGATTCCTACAAATACTACTTGGAGTCAACGTTGTTTTACCCAAAATGATGTTCTTTTTATGAGTAATTGTTACCACAGTTGTGTGAAAATTTGTAATACGTTATTAACT